TCTTTATGCACCAAGAGCTTGTAACACTCCAAAGAGAAAGGAAAAATTGAAATAGCATCATATGACCCCTTTAATGTCTTTACTGTCACTTTTGACCAATTTAATGCATCATTGATGAATATTTTTTTTATTAGAACTTTTAAAGATTTTAAAAAAGAAATCTATTTTTTTTCTAGTTTTTGTAGACTTTTATTTCTAGATTTTTAAATGTATTATCATCATCATCATCATCATCATCATTTTATTATTATTTATTATTATTATTTTTAATTTTTTTGCCACAGTGCTGTGAATCTTGCACTTCTTTAGCATAATTTTTTCTTTCAGAGAAGATGGGCCATGATGGTTGACAAACTGTACAACAAGCAAGACATCAATTAGTGAGGTCAACTATTGTATAATATTATTTCATTTATTTGTTTATATATTTAGCAGCGGTACTTTAAATAGCAAAAATGAAAATTCTGCTTTCATTTATACACCCCTGTGTCGCCCCAAACCTGTATGATTCTATTCTTCAGTGGAACATAAAGATATTTTTAGAAATATTATTTTCGGTGTTGTGTTGTTTTTCAATGGTCACCAAAATGGAAAAAGCATTTTTTTTGTGTTTCGCAAAAGGAAGTCATACAGGTTTGGAATGGCATGAAGGTGATGTAAATGATGACAGAAATTTCATGTTTGGGTGAACGCTTTAAGATAACAGATTTAATCTCTTTAAGATAATGGTTGAGGAAAGCAAAAATTAGTATTGTGTAAAAGAAATGCTTCCATGTACATTGAATTGTCCCTGCACATGTAAATTGAAAATTAGGTCCAGGTGATCCCAAAATCAGCCTAATTAAGCAAGTCTTGGCATAGACGAATAAATCGACTAGTTGATTTTGAAACCATGTAGTTTTGCACATCACTAGTCCAAAGCTCCTGGATGTTCCCAAAGATTTGAAGCATGGAGATGCTTATTTTTTAAGAAGGATTCTTTGTAGTTCCTCTCTGATGCCACAGATCTGTGTGTTGAAGATGTAGTGAGCAAGAGATGTGTGGAAGTGTTAGTGAGGAGGGTAGTGGAATAGACAGGGTGGGTAGAGGGAGGGGACGCGTATGTTAGCCTGTGTACATGCGTACGTTGTTGTACAGAGAGAGAGAGAGAGAGGGGAGGATTGGAGACAGTTGATAGACGCTGCTCACTCTAGGTGCTCTGCGTTACTTGGGTCTCAATAGCGGAGTGCTCTCTCCATCTCTGTTCCTTTCTCTCAGGGGGCCCTGGAGAGGATCGGTAGACGTGCTTTGATATTCCACTCTCATACCAGAGTTCCCGTCACATGCCCGGAGTCGGACTCTCTCTCAGTAACATGGGCTTTTCCCCCCCGTCTCACTGCAGTGTGTGTTTTTCCGTGCGGGCTGTTTTCACTGCTGCTCCTGGCGTGCTGGTGCGCGATGTGTGTTTATGTCTGCACCATGCCGAGGCAAGCGCTCCCAGTCAGCGGTGCAAACGGCCCCAGCAGCAGCCTCTGCCTGCCTGAGTTACGATACTGCTTGTGTTTCCCCTGCACAGTTCTGCTCCAGCACGGCGCCGATCCCAACATCCGCAACACCGACGGCAAGTCTGCCCTGGACCTGGCTGACCTGTCCGCTAAAGCTGTTCTCACCGGTGAGTGCTGCAACCTCGTGTTCTGCTTTTCTTTTTTTCTCAGTGTTATTGTCTTTGATCGTCTGCAGTTTGTTCCTGTCTGATACTACATCTACACAGCTTTGAAATGGAGCAGCATTGTTATGCATCTGTATCTCCACATTAGGTGTGTTTGTGTGAAGTGAGACCGTTGTTCTTGAGCGCTTCTCTGCCTGCGTGCTCTCACTGTAGTAGGGATGGGCGACTATATTGAATATCCAGGATATATTCGTGATCATTTTAAAATAAAGATGCATTGTGAGGATTTTAATGCACTGTGTTGTTAATAGTTTTGCGCCATTCTTAGTGCAAAACATTGTTAGAGTTATGTATGATTAATTTCTGTCGTGAGTTGATTCAAAACTCTGATTCAACAATTTGTTGCCGTTTATCTATGTATATTTAGAAAAAGTATTTGTTGATAATTATGGCTGTTTATCAGTGATAGGCAAATGTATTCGCTAGGCCTGAAAACAATGTCCACTTTGCAGACTATCGGAATCTACCCAGTTCGTTCATAATTTAACTTTGCGCAGCCTTTTTTTCCCCATGTTTAATAGTTTAATAGGTTGCTTTTAATATTTTGAGTAAATATTGTGTAAATTTTTTTTATTTTTTTTATTTCAGGAAGTTTGCGCACAACTCATTGCTATCATTAATTGGATTGGAGCCTATGTGTTCTAATGAAAAAAAGTGCGGAAAGCATAGAAATAAAGAATTTAATTGTCTGTTCTGTTCACTCAATTTCACCCTTTTTAAAATATCTATAAAATTTTGTGAAATATTCTATGTATTTTAAAGTTGTGTTTTAGCAATATTTCATGAGTTTTTTTTTTTTAACACACTTTTAGGCTTAGTAAAATCTCCACTGGTCGACACATTTGATAAAATGTACTCCCGCCACTCAGCCCACAAAAATTTTTATTGTTTGGGGGCAGAGATTCATGTATAATCATCAGGCTGTACTGATCTATTACATGGTCCTCTTAGACACATTCTGATTGTGTTTACACTTAATTGCATAATTTCCTGTTTGGTAAATACATGAGTTACAAAAGGGATGTAGAAAGCATTTCGTCAGCTGAGTAATTCTCTGAACTGACAACACGTTTTGCTGCCAACAAGTTTAGGCTAGTAGTAAAACTTCACTCTTCAGCTCTCGCAGAAACACTCAGTCGAGAGCAGCAGTGATGCGTTGTGAAACGTTCTGTTTCTGAAATCAGTATAATCTTTATTGAAAGACATTAGACTTCATTGATGCAACAGCTGGCCGCATAACAATGTTCATAACAATCATTTCTTACATCATGTAATCAGAAATTAATTCTGTAATGAAATATACATCAGCTGCGAAATCAAATGTATCAGAAAGTGTATTCAAGTGGTGCAATTGAAGGGTCTTTATCGGCCTCTGTAGTTCCATGAAGAACTGTTAACAGCCATGGAACCTTTCCATTGCACAAAAGGTTCTTTATAATGAAAAGGGTACTTTTGATTATTAAAATGTTCTTCACACAAAGAAAAAAGGGGTTTCATTTTAGGGCTGTGCGATATGGACAAAAAAAAAAACCTATCGCGATTTCTTTGATCAATTTTGCGATTTCGATTTTAATCACGATTTTGACACACACAGACATGCTTTGCAGTCATTAATGCATTGTGTGAATTTGAAACATATTTCCAAAAGAAAACCAATTAGAGCTTTATCAAGAAGCTGTAACATTTCTCTAGAACAGACATAAGGCAAAATAACCACTAAGTAAAGGTGTAACAAAATGTCTCTAGAATAGACATATGGCAGGAAAAAAAAAAAATCCCGCGTCCAGGGATTTTTTTTGCCATGCATTGGTCATGGAGCTCTTTGTGGCGTTGCCTCAGATGTTGAACTAGATTTGTTGCGCCAAGTTCACACGTACTCCGTCTGCAGTGCGTATACAGTATGTGTGTGCGGTGCAGAAGCAGCACGGACTCATTGTGCTTTCGCACAGGACGCGTTTGCAGTCCGCTCCTGATCCGCGGCTGTTTACCACAAACACAACATTTATCCAATATTTTGATTTCAAATCCAAATGTTGTTTCTGAAAATGCTTTTTCAGCATTGTGATTCTCTTTTATCACAGTACAGTAATACAATCTTTCATAGACATATTCACTTTTAAACTCAATAAATATAAATATTGTCATTAAGAAAAATTTGTTATTTTAAAAACTGTTCACTGAAAGGTTCTTTTTGGGAAACCAAAAACGATGGTTCCCAGGGATGTAACGATTAACCGAGCTGGTTGAAAATCGATTTAAATGTGACGATTCAAATCGGTTGAGATGCTAAACAAATAACGATTCAATTCGGGGTAGGAGTTTATATGAATGTATGTTTGAGGGGAACTTAGTCTTTCGATGGTATTTTTTCTTTTAAATCATAAAATAAGGAATAAATCAGGAATAAGGTGATAAGGTATAAATGGCAGCTCCTGGTGTGAGTGACAGAGGTGATGTGTTTGGTTTTGTGTGTATAAATAGAGCAGGAGGCAGAGCTCCAGCCTCTCGAGTATTTCAGATAATTGTTATAGATCCGCTTTTCCTGCCCGGCTATACCTGACCCTGCCTGTCGAGCCTCCCATCATCTGTCTAGAAATATTGAAGAGCAGTATTCATTTCATTCTTAATCATGGTTTGCTAGCTATATCGCAGCAGACTACACAACGTAGAGCTTTTTCATTTTTCACCAGCCTAGCCCCTAATTACTAACTGAAATATTCACTTAGAAGCTGGGCAACGTGAATGGAGTTATTCACGTTTTTGTTTATTTGCTTGAGGCGAATTCCTCTCCTCTCACTAATTTGAATGTTGCTTGCACAAATTACATTGCGAATTAACCGTTTTGCATCACGGTTGCCAAAAGGTGAGACGTGAGAGGTCTAATGCCATCCAAACCATCTGTAAGCGTTGCTACCTTTTCTTCAAACAGCTTCAGAATTAAGCTCTGGGTCATCAAGTCTGTCTTGTTGTTACAGCTTAATGATCGCGCATATTAACTTTTTTGGGCCAGTTCAGTTGTACGATTGGCTATTTATTGCATTTTTCAAAGGAGTTTGGTGCTGTGAAGCTGCTTATCAGCTGCTTAATTTGTTCGAGCATTCTGTTTGGTTTTTGTTTTTGGATGGAGGCTTTCCAATAAACAGTCTGTTGAGTGTAATTTAAAAATAGTCTGTATGATTAAACCAAGTGATTTCGTTGTCTTTTGCAAGGGATTTTGAAAAACGGCACAAACTGTAGCTACTAAAAATTGATTTTTGAACATCCCTTGTGTATTTAGGCTATATCAGTTATGGGAGTCGCTTGAACAGTTTTTGCGCAGTCACCAGAGGGGTGCTTTGTAAACACTAGTTCAGATTTTTTTTTTTTATGAGGAAAGAGATCATTTGGTGTAAACATGTCTCTGCTTTGGTCTTGTGTTGTGGGTCTGGGTAATGATGAGGCAGCCATGACAAAACACACACTAACAGGAGCATCACACAGACTCTCAAAACACTGAGATAAGAACATCTTTCCCATCCTGCTACATGGATATTGAAATATCATCTTATTCTTCAGATTTTAGGAGTATGATTGATGAATAAATTACTAAGTAATTTAAAAAGAGAATGCTTAATCATTACTTGCTGTGGTGTTCAACAACACAAAGGTTTAGAGACATTAGATTTTTTTTTTTTTTATAAAAAAATTAATGCTTTTATTCAGCAAGGACGCATTAAATTGATCAAAAGTGACGGTGAAGGCATTTATGTTTAAATAAAGATTTTTATTTTCAATAAATGCTGTTCTTTTTCGGTAACACTTTAGATTAGGGAACACATATTCACAATATTAGTTTTTACTGTTTTAAGATTTTTTTTGTTTTTTTTATCAAATCAATGCATTTATCTTAATATAATAAATGGAATACTATTTTTTTGTATCCTTTAAAGACCCAGAGCTCAAGGACCAAAAAGCTAGATTTTCTCAGCAACACCTAATAATGGCTTTCATTAGGGCTATTACAATGATTGTTATATAACAGATTATTAGCTAATGTGATAGTAAGAAATGTCATTAGTATTCATTGCTTCCTATGTTGTCTTCACGGCTCCCCGGTTGAAAACGCTGGCTTTCAGAGAACACCAGAGTAGACAGTTTGATTCATGCCTATATTTGACACATAAATAGCACCCATGTGAAGCCAGTGCCTCTATAGAATGACAGATTTTGAGGGACCTTGAGCTTGATTTTGATCATGTGGTAATGCCTCTGCCATCATATGATGTCCTTACAAAGACAAAATGTTCCTTTAAGTTGCATTCAACACACTTGCACTGTAGCTTTTGTGAAATGATTAATTACTACAGTAGTACCGCACACGGCATTCCACACTGTTTCATTCCGTGTTTCTGCAAGTATCTTTTTTCGTTTATTTAAAGGCTAATGGATTTCTGAATCATGAGTGTTTTTATTCTTGCTATAACACTACTATTAGCTCAATTTTGTATGCGAATTAGAGATGCACCGATCGATCGGCCAGGGATCAGAATCGGCCGATTTCCCTCACGATCGGCCCAGATCGGTGACCGGCCGGTCAGTCTCACTTCTTTCTGACAAAAGAAAAGCGAGGAAAAGAGGGAACGCCCCCGCCCCCACGGTGATACCGGTGTTGTCACACTTCGATTAACAAAGATTGTTGTTAATTTTTCCTCACCGTCACAACCCTAACACAAAATTATGTCAAAATGTCCGTCTTGGTGAGTATCCAGTTAAACGCAGTCAGTTTTGGAACGTTAAATAGTTGAGAAAGAGAACGCATGTTGTGTAACAGTATATTGGGTCCATGGATAAACTCTTAAAGGGGTCATATGATGCGATTTCAATTTTTCATACCTACGTCACTATCTGGGAAGATTTGCATAACGCTGCCCAAATGTTCACGCAAAGAAAGAAGGCGTAACTTT